GACCAATCAAATTAACCCTCTTTATAAAAGCTTGTAACTCGTTTGTACGTGTAGCATTAGTCCAGCCCAGCCGTTCCATCCATTACACACCTGACACAGACACAGTGCAAGAAACCATCTCAGCACCTCCACCTTTTCTTTAATGGCTTCCGAGGTGACTTCGTTTATCCTGTTGCCTTCATTAGTTGCAGCGAGCCTAGTTTCCATCGTTGCACGTATGGACCTGCATTGTTTTGTACCGGCCGGCCGGCTAATGCCTGCACGAAAACTAAAACGGTAGCAGTTGTTCTGTTCGTAGGCTGTTTGGCCGGACAAACTGTAGACAGGCAAACCATTTTTACAGTAGAGGACATCCTGTAGAGCACAAGCATCTTTGTTTTTAATGCATTGTCTCATCTTCCTCCATCGCGGCCGGTCCTGTGTAAGTCACCTCATAAATCATTCCCTGGTAGTAGCACGTAGGAAGCCACACCACCACGACATGTTTGACGAGAAGATCTAGCGTGAGCGGTTCGCGCGATCACCAACTCCTTCGGAGCTGAGCCATGGCAGAACATGTGACCTCGGCCGTGACTGGTGAGCTCACCAGCCGAGTGTTCTCAGTGCTGCTCAAGAAGTACGGCAAGGACGCGGCCACCAGCGAGAAGCTGCAGCGGCTGGAGATGCTGCTAACCATGATCAACAGCGCCCTCGAGGCGTCTGAGAAGCTCGCCATGAACCCGTGGCTGCTGCGGTTGCGCAACAAGCTCAAGGAAGCCGCCACACGAGGCCAGGAGGTGCTTGACAGCTTTCCACAGTCTGACAATGATGCCGGTGACACCAGCAACGCCAACGGCAACCAGCAGCAGGCAGGCGAAGCAGCTTCTTCTTCCGCCGCTGCTCCCCCTCCCGCTCCCACAACGGATGTAGGTCCTCTGTCTTTCACCAAGAAATCTCTGTCTGGTATGGTGCAGGGCATCCGCGATGCTGCAAATATGCTCTTCTCACGCGGCGTCAGCGAGGACATGGCAAGGCTGAACACGACATTGGTTAACTTAGAGAAGGGCTCGCCGGACATCCTTTTGTTCGTAAGCTTGCTTCAGATTGAGGTCTTGAAAAAGGCAGGTCGCCGAGCACCTTACAGTAGAGCATTATCAGCTCAATTGCTTGCGATAGCAAAGAAGAGGCAAAGGAGGGTTAGCTTGACCACACGTAGTGAACCCTCGACGGTGGCGCCTAGAGTATCCCACAATCTGAAGATATTATCTTCGGTGAAGTTGTACCAACCTAAGCGCTCCCAAAAGCAACAGCAGCTCATAGCCCTGCGTCAAAGGCTGGAGGCAGCATCCGCTGAGATCTCCAAGGCCGTGGAGCTGGCTGACAGCCACAACTTGGAGGACCTGGAGTGGCTAGCATACTGGGCAGGCATCCTCAGGGAGGCCAAGGAACAAGGCCGGGACGTCCTGGGCGCCATCGCGAACGCAAAGTCGTCGATAGTGGAATGCGTCCAAGAAGATGAATTCAGCAGCTTTGTGCATAGGCTCGAGGGGTTAGCTACGGATGTGGAATATTTCGAGAAATTGATGCACGTCTGTTTGAAAGTGTTGTTGCGGAAGAAGTTAGTCATAGGTATTTACTTCATATCGCAGTTGTGGTTGTTTTCTCTGCACTCTGCTTAATACTCTCCCTCTGTAAAAAATATAAGAGCGTAATTAATAAATGTAGTTTTTTTTAGCATCAGTACAGAGGAACGTTTCCTTCCATTGTCCATCTAACCAACTCAATCACAGGTTGATTCGCTAATAAATGTAGTTGTGTGCATCTATCACATTTGCTATCTTTTCTTTTTCTTTTTTTTTTTGGTGATGGGTGCTAGCTTCTTGTTACATACGATTGTAGTTGAATCAATATGTATTGCCTTGCCTTTTCCTCAAAAAGATTCCGTGTGAACCTGCATGAAACTTCTTTTTTCCTTTTTCAGTTCATACAATTTGTTTTGTCCTATTACGACCATGTTTTCCTGTCTCAATACCAAAAAAAAAATCCTGTCACTCTGAATCTAATGTAATTAGTGATGATAGTAGGACTGGGTTAATAGTGTCCTCTGCTCTAGGTAAGAGGCAGGATAGGGCTCTAGAGGGTGAGGCTTTGGGTAAGAAAAACTTCTCTGCAACTTATGTTAGCTGGAAGAAGATGTGTAGTGGACAGGGGGAGAGGCAGAACACTGGACAGGAAGGTGGAAAGACGGCTACCGATCCTGGGGCCATCGGTACTCTGACGGGCTTGAGTGACGTCGCTCGTCAGGAGCTCGTCAGGAGCCATGAGTATCCTAAGCTGGAACTGCCAGGGTTTGAGGCAACCCCGGACAGTTCAAGAACTTGTGGGCTTGGTGCAAGCCCATCGCCCTGGGATCGTTTTCCTGTGTGAAACAAGGCAATGTGAGGAAAAGGTGAAGAGAATAAAATGAAGACTAGGTCTGAAGCACTGCCTTACTCATGATGGTAAGGGCAAAGGTGTGGGCATTGCCTTGTACTGGGATGAATCAATAAAAATAAAGTGTTTGTCGTATGATCCCCGTTATTTTGACGTTTTGGTGACTGATGATTCCCATGGCCCTACGTGGCGTGCAACTTTTGTCTATGGCGAGCCAAGAGCGCAGGATAGGCACCATATGTGGTCCTTGTTGAGAAGGATCAAACCAAATGAAAGTGAACCTTGGATGGTTATCGGGGATTTTAACGAGACGATGTGGCAATCTGAACACTTCTCGTTAACTAGAAGATCTGAAGGTCAAATTGCAAGGTTTCGTAGTATGTTAAATTTCTGTAACTTGCATGATCTGGGGTTCAAAGGGAAGCCTTGGACCTATAATAACAAACAACAAGGCGATAAAAATGTCAAGGCTAGGATTGACCGTGTTGTGGCTTCCCCTTGTTGGCAGGATTGTTTCAAACAAGCTACTGTTACCCACATAACCACACAACGATCTGATCATTTTCCGCTTCTGCTAATCTATTATGGTCAGGCAAATGTGTGGGGTGGTCCGAAGCCCTTCATGTACGAGTATATGTGGGAGAGAGATCCTTCTCTGGTGGATGAAATAAAGAATGCCTGGAATAGCAACAATGGTCAGGGCCCTGGGCTGGTTAAGGTAGTTCAGAAATTAAAAGGAGTTCAACAACATTTACAAGGATGGAGCAGGAGGAAGTTCAGATCGGTTAGGTACAAAATTAAAAGACTGCGACAGCAACTTGATAAACTTTGGGACTCGGCTCCTTCTTATAGTAGGGATGTTCAAATCCAAGAATGTTCGCGTGAGCTTGACGAATACTTGTACAGGGAGGAGATGCTTTGGCGCCAACGCTCGCGGGTTACTGGTATTCGTGAGGGAGAACAAAATACCAAGTACTTCCAGCGTAAGGCTTCTTGGCGGCAGAAGAAAAACAACATTAGCAAGCTAAAAAATCTAGATGGTCTTTGGGTTCATGATAAGAAGTAGATAGCGTCAATGGCAACAAATTTCTTCAAGAAACTTTACGAGGCTGACAGTAATGTAGAACCAGAAGCCTTGCTCGATCTCTTTGACGAAAAAGTTTCTCTGGAGATTAATGAGGCCTTATGCAGGGAATTTACGGACTGAGAGATAAGTGATGCTTTATTTCAAATTGGTCCCCTAAAAGCACCAGGCAGGGACGGTTTTCCTGCAAGATTTTTCTAGAGGAACTGGGGCGAGCTGAAACAAGACGTGATTGTTGCGGTAAAAAACTTCTTTTCTAATGGCATCTTACCAGAGGGCATAAATGATACAATCATCATCCTCATCCCAAAAGGAAAATCACCAGAGAAATTACAAGATTTCAGGCCTATTAGCCTCTGCAACGTGATTTATAAAATTATCTCAAAGTGTTTGGCGAATCGTCTCAGACCTTTCCTGGAGGAACTAATCTCGGAATCTCAAAGTGCTTTCATTCCTGGAAGGTTAATCTCGGATAATGCTTCAATTGCTTTTGAGTGTTTCCACAAGATCCAGCAGAGTAAGAATGCCAGGGACAATCATTGTGCTTATAAATTGGACCTGACAAAAGCTTATGACAGAGTGGAATGGAATTTTCTAGAAGGGGTCTTGCTAAAATTTGGTTTCTGCCAAAAATGTGTGTCATGGATTGACGTGTGTCCGTTTTGTTAGATACGCTGTCAAACTGAATGGTGAAATCCTGGAATCCTTCTACCCTTCCAGGGGGTTGAGACAGGGAGATCCTTTGAGCCCTTACCTTTTTTTTGTGGCTGAAGGACTGTCCCGAGCTCTTGAAGCTGACTGTTCTATCTCTAATATTATCCCTCTTAAGGTTGCGAGGGGCGCTCCGGGTATTTCTCATCTTCTGTTTGCGGACGATAGTTTACTGTTTTTCAAGGCTACTGGGGATCAAGCAAAGAGCGTGAAGTCAGCCCTCAATGTTTTCCAGAAAGGTACGGGACAATTGTTGAGCCCAAGCAAATGCTCCATCTTATTCAACAGTGTGTGTCCGATTCAGATCCAGGAGGAGATTATGCATACCCTGGACCTTACCTCTTCGACCTTTGAGGAAAAGTATCTCGGTCTTCCAACCCCTGAAGGTCGAATGAAAGTTTCTCATTTCCAACCCATTTTCGAGAGGTTCACTAAAAGACTTACGGACTGGGCAGAAAGATACTTGTCCTATGGGGCAAAAGACATTTTGGTCAAATCTATTGCTCAAGCCCTGCCTATGCATACCATGAGCATCTTCAAGATGAGTGCAGGCTTTTGTGAAAAATATGAGAAGCTGGTGCGTGACTTCTGGTGGGGGGGGGTGAAGAGAATGTTGTAGGGTGTGAGTTACAGGAGTGTTGTAGGGTGTGAGTTGCAAAACAGGGAAGTGTGAAGGGTCAAAATGTAAATGGAAGGTGTATATACTGTGAGGAGGAATGGATCGATGGTTGAGGTTCTTCCAGAAATCTCTCATCTTTTCTCCCCCCTTCCCCTGTAGCTTTGCTGGAGAAGTGAGATCAACCAAAAGGCCAGACAAAATGGTATCAGAGCAGGAGGTGGAGGCGCTGTTTGACCCTCGCCGGTGTTGAATCGGCTGCTGGTGGTGAACTGGAGCGGGGAGAAGAGGAGGCTGCCGCCAGGAGTGTGGGGCGGCGCAGCCGCTCGGAGTTGAAGCCAGTGGTGGTGCGACCTGGGAGTGAGGCCCCTCTTTGTGGCGCGTGCAGGAGCTGCAGGCTGGGAGAGCTGGGTGTAGCAGCAGGAGGCGGAAGTGTGGCTGCTTGAAATCTGAAGCAGCGGCAGAGGGGATCCAAAGTGACAGATTAAGGGTGTGTTGCCTGAATCTGAATCTGTTTGTGGGTTGTTTCTGCTGTGAGTGGAAAGAAGAACAGAGCAATATACCAAGGAGAGGTGTGCCAGGATGGCTGATGGTGCTCCAACAGGTGTCACGGCAGGAGAGCTTGCAGCGGTGTTGAGAGCCATGGACGAGAAGTACAGATTGCTGTTTGAGACTATTGGGAAGCAAGGAGAGAGTTCGAAGTTAGAGGCAGAGGTCAAGGAAGATATCCATCCATTGCAGATGCCCCTGGTGAAGTTAGAAGGATCTGAAACCTATGCAAGTTGGGCAGAGCATGCGGAGACTATTCTTGTGTCAAGAAGGCTAGAGGGCTATATTCTTGGGGCAATTGAAAAACCAGCAGATGAGAACTCTAAGGAAGGTCAAAAGTGGAAGATGACCAACGCATTAGTGAGAGCATGGCTGTTGAGTTCAGTTTCACCTAAAATTGCTAAACAAGTGGAAAGGATTAAGGAAGCATCAGGAATTTGGCGGCTGCTGAAAGGCACATATTCTGGAGTCGGCAATGAGATGCTTGCTTGTAGAATTCAGAGGGAGTTGCAAGGGTTGAGTCAGGGTGATAAATCAATTGTGGAGTATGTGTCTGAGTTGAAGAGATTGTGGAGTGACATTGACTATTTTGACCCAGTTGAGATGGAGTGTGGCAAGTGTATTGAGAAATTTAACAAATGGACTGAAAGGAGACGTGTAAGGGACTTCCTAAATGGACTTCATCCTAAGTTTGAAAACAGGAGGGCTGCACTCTATGGTAGTGGAAAGCTGCCTACACTCGAGCAGGCAATCTCAGCTATCATCAGTGAGGAAACTAGGTTGAAATTAGAGGCAGCCAGTTCCGTGACACAAGGCATCATGCATCCGCGATCAGCACTCTATGCAACAGAGGGTGGAAATTATCAAAAGCCGGTATCAAACATAGTGGAAAGGAAATGCTTTGAGTGTGGTGAACCAGGACATTTGAGGTCTTCATGCCCTGAATTAATGGGAGCAGGTAGAGGAAGAGGGCAGGACTGGCGGGGAAGAGGGCGTGGTCGTGGGTTTGAAGGACGAGGTGGCCGCGGGCGAGGAACACGCCCTACTGGTAGAGCGAACACATCTCTAATCTCTGAAAATACCACTCAAACCATGAGCGTTCACATGACTGCTGAGGATTGGGAGAAGTGGTGTCAATTCAAGGAGCTACATTTAGGTGACAAGTCAACCGCTGAAGCACCTGCAACATCTGCCTCTACG